TCCTCTGCAAAATTTTAGAGGCAGGATCAAACATGTCAGTTACTAGGGATGGAGTCTGGCAGAGACTCTTGGGGCACAGTTCACAGGCTGTGAATAGCTCACAACATAACGGAGGCTGCACTCAAGAACTGTCTCTGCATACTCTCCCCTTCGCCTAGAGGGCACAACTGCCCAATGCCAGCCAAATTACGCCAACGTGTACAGGCCAGAAAGCAACCCCCCTCACTTTGAGGACCTATCCCCAAGTAAAGTAATTCCTCTCTCCCCTGTTTCTTGGCCTGCTTTCCCACTTTCAGCATGCCATGAAAGCCTACAGTTGGGAAAATGTACAGAAAGGTACATGTTACACTTACAGTAGACTACACACAAATTTGTTTCATGAAGAAAAGTCTTCATCAAGCGCACTGATCCTGCAGTGCCTGCCTGGAGCACTCTGGGACTGCCTTGGGACTGTGGGAATGCCTTGCCTGTCTCCTCCCAAGCGGCCTCATTTTTTTTTCTGCACAGGCAAGGAAAGTAAGACAAAAAAAAAAAATTTTAAAAATCAGCTTACTCCCATCGATTCAAGATAAATAATCCTTCTGAACAAGTAATTCTGAAAGTCTGCAGAGGACAGTATGAAAACCAAGAATAGCTAAAGGCTATCTGGATGCAAAACTAGACAGGGGAACATTCCTTAGGGAGGGGGGAAAAAAAAAAAGCAGTGGGCAGCCAAACCTACTCCTGCTGAGAGACCTTGCCCTGCTTCCAAATGATACAGAAGGGAAAGCTGCATCAGAAACAAGGAATCCAGAAACTGAAGGACAAGAAGCAGATGGAAAACAGTACTCACCAACTGCTTCAGTCATCACCTGGTGAAGACATGTTAAGTACCTGTCTCTAGATCAGGAAAAAAAACATCCAGGCAATTAACAAGCCGGACAAGTCAGCTGAGAGAAGGAACTAAACCCACACTTTTTACAAGCTCCTTTTTCTCCTTTGACCTTATTTATTCTACTACCACAGTCTTGTTTAAGAATTGTTTGATAAAAATGAAGCACCTGTGCAAAAGAGCTTCCCAAGAAATAATCCCAGCCATGATATCCATAACTGTAGCCTAACACTGCAGCTCTCAGCCTAGTTCTCCCTACCAGTTTCCCCACAGCACAGTAAGGTTTTACGCTGTGGTTCCATTAAAACCCCATTCAGACTATCTGCAAAGCTCCCTAGAATTGTATCACCCTACAAATGAAATCGTCACTCAAAGTAACCATGAGACTTGGCTCCCTACTGAACTGTGCTGGCAATGAACAGATATAATATCATGACACCATGAGATCTGTCTGTGACATCACATTCCAAGACTATTGCATTACATCATTCTGCAGCTGGCATCATAACATTTCACAAGTTTCATATTTGTCTGCTATTTTAAAAACGATTCTAAAAAATTCTCAAGTTATCACAACTTCTTCAAAGGTACTTCAGAAAACTTTGCTGCCTGCAGTAATACGGTACCCCACCACGAACACACTTCAGGAATGACTGCTGAGCCCCAGGCTGAACAACGTCCTAGAAATACTGGACAGGTTGCAACCAGTATGTGGATCCTTTCCAGAGAGTTTTTGTAGTTGGCCCAAACCTTTTTCACTCTCACACAGCTCTGTTTCCTAAGCCTGCCTTCTGTTCCTACCCTTCATTCTTTAGCACAATGACTCCAGTGTCTATGCTCACACCATCTTTGTGACACTGCAGCAACAGAGGAATGGCTAGGAGCAGACAGCTTTTTGAGCAATGAACCTGGATTTTATGCAGTTCAGAAAAGGAAAAACCTGGAAAGAAATAACCAGAAACAGTAAAACAACCAAAAACAACCAAAGCTCATTTGTTTCCAAGGGTTGTTTTCTTTTTCTTTTTTTTTTTTTTAAACAGATTTACATCAGTACTTAAGTGAGGTAGAAGACTTAATTTCAGAACATCACATTCAATTTTATTTAAAGAGCAACTTTATCTGAAGTATTAAACATGCAAGTGCACATACATACAGGATCACTTGCTAAGTCACAATCTTGATGCTCGAAAGAGACAAAATTCATAAAACAGCATTTTGATAATGGGCTTCAAAAGACACAATATCAGAAAAAGTAGGGAAAAGGAAGACACTTTGGAAGATCTGAAGTTGTAGAAGAGGTTGTATTTAGGAAGCAGCTTGGAAATAACAAGAGGTGGATAGGGAAGTAGGAAACAAACAAAGAACCACCAAATAAGTCATCAAATCTAAATTGGAAGAGAGCATTTTAACCAACTCCACAGAAGAGACAACAATGAGAACAGAGGAGGAATGCTTTAATAATGAGGTAGAGCAAAAAAAGTAGACAAATGGTATAGTTCTTAACCAGGTTTGTTGACTGAGGTGATGATTTTGGAAGAACAGGTCAGTGATGATATAAAAATCAAGGCACAAACGCAAGTCTAAGCACCAGCATTTTTCATAAAACGTAAAAAACCAAACTTGTAGACGGGAAGCAACAAACACCTGCAAGGTTTCAGAGAAAAACTTCTGATGAAAGCAAACACTGAGACTTCTAGTAGCAACTGAGAACTTGGTGAAGTATCAGCTGACAAGGAAAGAGGGCAGTAGAGCCACAAGAACATTCATGGTAGTTGTATCCTACTTAATGCACAAGGCAGTACAAACTAGGCAAAAAAAGAGAATTAAGAACATGAGGTAAAGAAAAGCAAGAATTCAATTAGACGTCATAGTACGTAGGCCTGAGTGGAGAATTGACACCCTTTGGTCAAGTGTGAAGGAAAGAGGAGAGGTGTCAAAACCAGTAGCCTTTGGCATGAATGGAAGAGGCAGAGATAAATCATCCCAAGCAACTGAAATAAACCCAAAACAGTCAGAAAACAGAGGGGAAAAAAACAACCCACACCGAAAACATAATATAGAAAAACATTCAGTTGCAATAAAAGCTGCTGGGAAGTCAGGAGCAGAAATGAGCTCCTTGTTTCTGGTTTCACGCATTTCTAATAATTTGTGAGGGTTCTGGTCAGTTGGCAGCCATAGAAAGCTAACCAGGAAAGGTTCAGAAAGCCAGGACAACTAGGGGTGAATACAAGAATCATCTTCCTAAACAAGAGTTTAGAACATCCTGAGGAGACAAAGCGCTGAAAGAAGAAGGGCGGGGGGGGGAAAGGAAAGAACTGCAGACCACATGAACACAAACAAGAACAGCACAAAAGGAGAGGAAAGAAGAACCTCCAGGATAAGAATATTTTCAGATATTATTTCATTTTTTCCCCACTCATGATGAAACTGATTTGCATCAAAAGTACTTTTTATTCTGAGGCACTTCTGTCCCAGGCTGACCTTGGGTTTGCAGCTCAGTGGCTGAGCTGATCAGCCATCCAAGCCCCATGTCATCTGAAATGTTGACATAAAAGTTTCAGGCTCCCCTAGAGGCACACAGCTGCTTTGCGTGTCCAGGAAACTCCTGCTAAATGCTTTCTGTAATTCACCCAGGCACCAGACATACCCCTAACTTGACAAGCAAGCAACATGCTGCATTTGCAGCAACAGAAATATGTCACTGAGAGTACAGTCACTCAGTCTGAGGACTTGTGACCTCCATATGCAATGCAAGACCTGCTATAAAGCACTGAAAAGGTGTTCTACCCACTGTCAGATCTACCCGTTATCCTGGCAATTTCCCAACTTCACCTTAAAACACACAGAGCTGCTGCAAAGCATAAGGTAGTTGAAATGGATACAGGAATAGCAGTGTGAAATCCAGTGTACTTTGACAACTAGGGAACAGACTAGATAATATCACAGCTTCATTGACCCTCAAACTTCTGCATGTAGCTCTTGGAAAGCAGTTTATACCTGCAGAAGCCTGGCCTGACCTACAGTAGCTTCAGTACCTTGCTAAAATAAAAACACTGATGAGCTGAGTTTGACCTTTGTACTTCAAAATATTTTTAGGCACACCTCCAAAGCTCAGTTCAACTGGAATTTGATGATGTATCATTCATATGGATAGGAAAGACCCATGAAGATTTCTGCTCCATGAGAACTGCTGGAGACACAGCACCTCTAGTTTCAATAGAGGGAACCTGAAAGGCGCTTAGATACAGTACAATTGTGCTCAGCACAAACAAATCTGAGAAGAAAAGCATCATCTTTGCAAACTTCACTATTACGCTAAGTAGCAAATGAGTGTATTGCAAAAGTACAATTTTCCATCTGCATCCACAACAGTCACAGATATACCCCAAATATGGAGGTCTCTGGATCAGCTACATCAGCTGCTTGCTGGTGACACAGGGCTGAAGCACAGCATTACAAATAGAAGCAGAAGCTTTGATACTGCATCCAAATTAAAGTCCTGCCATCATTCACAGAGAAAGAGCAGTTTTCAGTTTCTATCACACAGGGCATTACAGAGCTAACTATGAAGGACAGGCTAACTGCCATCAGTAGTATGTCACTCTACCTTTCTATAGACCATTTCAAAATGACTGCCAGAATTAGGTCCAGAAAAGAAGACATCCATGTAACAAGAGCAGATAAACTATTGGTTTCATTAGCAATCTTCTCTTCAGATTACTCAAAATACGTGAAATAGCATTTGTGATTCACTCCAGGTAGAGATCTAATCTTAAGCTCCTTAAACATTTGCCACAACTAGCTCCTACAACTGAGTACACCAAAATTCTCTTCAAACTCTCTCCCTTTATCTTCTTTTTAAGGAGCAGTGGGATCTGTGCTTATCTCCCTCATCTCATGGAAACCACTGTGCTGCTGATCTTGTCCTGAGACGCTCAACAGAGATCTAGGGAGGCTGCTTTGGCATCAAGCTCAGGGTGCTCCAGTTACAATTATTTCCCCTACCTTGTTATAGCACTGGGAAACCAGTCACGGTACCGTCATACTTAAAGAGTATGCTAAATAGCAATGAGAGCTGCAGCAGTAATTCATGCTTTCAAATAAATACACCAACGAAGGCTCCTCTGAGTCAATGTGCTAAATGAACGAGCAAGACATTCTCTCCTCGAATGAAAATCTGGTTTATGTGACGTGTGAACACCTGTTGATAATCCACTTTGGGCCGCCTTTTTCTTCGCGACCGGCTTCTTGCACGGGTACCACCAGCACTGGCGCCCTCCATGTGGGCAGTCCCGCCGCCCACATCAGCTTCACCTCTGGCAGCCAGAGGCAAACTGTCACCTGGCATCTTCTTTTCTCCAGCTCTGCCCAAGCGTTTCTGCCTCTCGCGCTCATCTTCTGCTCTCCCTCGTCCTGATCCAACTTTCAATCCCAGCGCCTGAGAGTCGTTTGTCAGGGCTAGCTCCTCTGAGACAGTCTTTGAGTCAGCTCCCTTCTTTACTGAGGACTCCTGCAGTTTGAGTCTGTCAAACAGCTGTGAAAGAACATCCGTGTACATGACCACATTCATAAAACAAGAGAGGTCACTTGTTCAGCACTTCTACATGGTATTTGCAAATACAATCCTAAATCACAGCTCACAATATACAGTTAGTGAAGAATCCTTACCAGCAATAAAGACTATATTTTCTTGCCAAACAGTGACATAAAGTGAACAGATCTCCTGCATACACATAAGTGTCTTTAAGTGAGCTTCAAGGAGTTTAATTTGGGGAGCAACACTGATGTGCAGTAGCACTTAACTTTGGTGAGGAACAACAGAAAGCTATCAAGTTTCTCCACTAGCTCACTTTCCGCAATGCTCTTGTAATGTTGTCAGATAGTATTAGAGAGATTTCCATCCTCGTGTCCGCAGGCAGGACATGAATCCCTAAGATAAGAGGCCTCAATCAGCAAAGAGTGTATACTGAAAAAATGATGGACCTTTTGTGTTCCCCAAAACAAACTAAAAGTGGCCGTGCAGGTATTCTGGGAGGTAAGCAGACCAAAACCAACAGAAAAACAATAAAAGCTAGAGCAGCAGATCCAAATCACTGTGTGAACTCATTAATCTAAGAATACATGGTGCTGAAACTGGAAAAGAAAATGCTTTTGCTCTGACAGCAGGCAAGCTTTTATGAAATACTGACAAATGAAAAGGATTCTCCATTAGCCTGTCTCTTCTCAGCAACAAGATGGAAAGCCAATCCCTGTGAGAGTGGGCTAAAAGAACAATGACTACTTGATTATTCTTAACGAATCTTTAAAAAAGGAAGGGTGGGATCTATCAGAAAACAGATTTAAATGGCTGGAATTTGAAAGCAAATTCCTCACAATTAAACTGTTTAAAAGCTTTTGTGATGCTTCTCTGATGCTCAAAAGGCCCAGAGCTACACCATTCAACAGGCACAGCCCTGCCACATTTTTTTCCTTCATTGTTCAGAAGTTCATCTATCATCTCTTCAGCTCTCAACTCCATAAAAATCTTTTTTTGCGGCTGGATGCTAGAGAGTGTCTTGCTTCGGAGCAACGTGCAGAATCTTGGGCTTCATGGTATCTAGGAAGTTTAAGTGAACAAACAGACATACTGTTTTGTTGTCTGGAGACAAAGACTGTGGCTCCAGCAACATTAGCACCAGTTATGCACTGCCAAATCACCTGGTAGGACAAATGTGGACTGGATAAGTCATGGGTGCAAAAAAGCTCGCAGAACAGATAAATCAAAACCCACAGAGTGAGCTTAGAGAAGGTCAGCATGTTGCACTAAGCAGTGGCAGCAACTGTGATCGGATATTGGGACTGAACTATGGCCAAAGTACTTTCAAAAAGGTCAGAAAAACGTTTTTTCTTCCTTCCAGTTCAAGTCAATTTAGAGTCATCTGTAATAAAAGGAGGTAAAATATTTCAAACATAAATGTAATTTTCCAATCAATCCTCCCCTTTCACTACGTTGAAAAAAGGAGATACTGGGAAAAAAAAACCACAAGAAAAGAAAACTGGAGATGGTTACCTACCCGGGTGAGTGTGAGCTGAGGTTCTGCATAGAAAGCTTTGCCCGTTACTGGTTTCCTGTATGTCTCATCCACGTCTGTCAGGGCCTAGAAGAAGATAAAAGAAACAGAAAGGTCAAAATTGTAAGAAAACACGAAGAAGCTTTGGACCAGCTTTGTGTCACAGCATTATGAAATTATGCTCTATTTGAGAGAAAATCCATTCTAGGAAGAAGCTGTGCTTTGGAGCTGGTTTCTTACTCATCTAAGTTGTACTGAGGTATAAAAGCAACAGCAAAGCCTAGCATTCATTCTGCATTACCTGCAAAGTCTTTGTGAGCCTTGCCTGCAAAATCCTGCTCCCCCCACCCATTTCCAAACTTTTCACTGCTCCAGGCTAGCAAGTATTTAATAGCTGGTTCTCCACCCACTGTCTTTAAGATCTTCATGAGGCAGAACACAGGGAAAAGCTTTTGTCACTGACATCCCAGCAACATGTTAGTGAAAGAAAACAGAAAAGTAGCTACTATAAGAAGATTGAGTTTTGCAGAGAAAGCTTTGGAAGCTTCTGATGCTCCTCATATTTCACTTTCCTGGGTTCTTATACAAAACCTTTAAAGATGTTGGGAACTTCTCAAAGCTCTTCTCTCACCTAAAACCTCTCTAAGATGGCTAGGCACTTTTCTGACATACCAATCCAACACTAAGCTCCATCTAAGTCCGAAATCCAGCGTCCAGTGCCAGAACAGATTAGCTTTATGAATGACAATACCACATTAATCTTCTCAAAATGTAGTTTGCTTAAACCTGTTGCAAATTTCAAGTTTCCAATACAGCAGTTCTAAATCAAGGGCTCGAACAATAATTACCATATTCCAGAACTTGTCAAATGCAACCAAAAACCCTGTGCAGACTCCACGAAGCCCTTTGAAAGTGCGGATATGGACATTGATTTTCACACCATCTCGGACACAGCGATGAAGCTCTCCCAGTGGGCTGCCTTCATGGACTGAAACAGAAAAATACATAGAAATCTATTCCATAGAAATCTTGGTACAACACTTGTCTTCACAGCAAAAGAAATGAGAAGCCCCACAGCACTGTAACGCACTGCGGTCGTAATCACTAGACCACCAAAACTCTCCTTACAGTGGGAACGGCAAAGACTTTAGAAAATGTGAAAGTTTTGCTTTATATAACCCACAGCCAAACCAGCCTTAGTTGAAAATCTTCTTGCTACATTTCAAAAAACATACTAAGTAATGCTCCTCTTCAGTAAAACTGGTTCAGAGGGAACAGAAAGCTCACAGAGGCAGAGAGAGTGCTGCAGAAAAGACAAGTGCCTAGTTAAGGCTACCTCAGACTAGTTGTGATCTGTTAATGAAATATTGTATCGGACGTGTTCCTTTTCTCTACAAGGAGATTTCTGAAACAATGAATGACTCAAAGTTCTTCAATAGATAAACTGGGTCAGTTTAAATTGATGAAAACATACTGTTTCAGTTAAACTTTCAGCAGCCAGCTGAACATCCTTCAAAGATGTACACGTCTTGAGCAAAGAAATAAAACGACTACAAGCAGCAGCCACCAATGAAATCATGCTAAACCACAGAATAATGCTTTAGTCAGGGCAAAAGCAAAGGAATTCAGTAAAACATAGAGCTTACCTGCTACACACAAGCCTTACCTGCACACAAGAAATCCCTGCAAGTGTACATTACCTAGACAGGTAGCTATTATTTACTTTACAACACCCACCCACACCACAGTGAAGCCATTCCAGTGATAAAATGCAGCTACTCGTTCGCTTGTGCACACGCAGCCCCAGGGCTGCTCTACAATTTCTACTAAGAGTCAGGAAAAAGGTATTTGTCTAAAATCTCACAGTTCCTCACATTAGTAAAACCTGAGCCAGAGATGACCTCTCACTTGTGCTCTAGGGACTATGCATTCAAAGTTCGATTTGCACGCTAGAAAATGCATCCTGTGAGTGTAAAACGTTTCTGTACGACAGCTGACCTGCAGTACTTGGCTGCACGGCAATTCTTAGCCACAGCAGGGACACCTAAAGCAGCTCCCTCTGAATTAACCTAATGACGTTCATTTTTTGAGATCCATTGTTTTCTTGCCAGCCATCTCCAGCTGGATAGCTGCAGAAAATTGCTTTCACGCAGAGCATGAGCTGTCTCAGTACCTCCCAGCTTTGCTGACGGGCCTTGTTTGATGAGTCTCTGTACTTCCTTCAGCCGAACTGATGGCAAACTTTTGTTCTGAATTCACAGGTCCATCACAGGAACCATAGATGACACCATCACTACATCAGACTGATGCTTTTAATCAGGTAACAGTATTTTTTCTCACTAACCCTGAGAATTTACAAGATCATTTTAGATTTTTTTTTAGATTTTAGATTCCAACGTTCCCTTTGCATAGTACCTTTACCTACTTACAAAAATTCAAGTACAATCTTTATTTTCAACTATGCCTTTGCTTGTGGGCACCCCATTAGGCCTGGTGGAAAACACTACTTAACAGCTGTACCAAATTTGGACAATACAGGCTCTTCCCACATTTCCTTGTTAGGTAAGGTCTGGCTTCATGAGGGCAAACCTCCAGCTTCACCTGATCAAAAGGGCAGAACACATCATCCAAAAACCTTTCAACAATGTGACATCCACTTCTCAGAAAAAATAAAGCTAGCAATGCAAGGAATTTATTTTTGCAACAGAGCTCTTCTGCAAGAATCAAAGCCTGTAATGACCAGGCTCTGCATGCAGCTAGATGTGCCTGTGGCTTTTGATGCTTTAAGTACCAGTATTAATAACTCTCCAATCCATGGGGAAAAAGAGTTACCTAGTTGGTTTTGTACTCAAAATCCAATCCTTATTTGTATAAAATAAGCACATGCTTAATACCAGGATTCTGAAGATGACTAGAAAACTACTGTAAGCCAGAGGGCAAGTACCCTAGGAAGGAGGAAATAAAGATCCAAACTCTGGTTAAGTTCAAGTCCCTGTCCTTAGGGCACAGACTTTCTTAAGAGGCAAGAAAGAAAAGAGCAAAGCAATTCAGAACAGTCGAAATAACTGAGAGCACTATCAAAGCCTTTCTCACTGCTCTGCAGTAACTGCTTGCACAGGAGTTGTGTGTCCCCTGGCAAACACAAAGTAATTAGAAATAGCTTCTCCTGAACTGATCCACAACAGGCACTGCTAAAGCAGCTTCCTTTTTACTTTTATGGCTGCTGAAACCACCCCTCAGGACAAGCAAAATTTTGGCTCCATTTTACATTTCTGACACACGGAATTAAGGAACACCTCACACCTGGTCACAGCTCGCCGGGAGCACAGCGACACGGCTCTGGGATGCAGGAACCCGTGTACCGCGCTCACCTGCAGAGGCAGCTGCTGCCTCAGAATCCAAACTTCAAACGCCGACCCGCCTGCTGAGCAGACGGGCCCCCCACTTACAGGGAAAGCGCCCAACTTCGGCTACAAATTATTCTTAAAATCTTTCAGACTGCGGAATAGCACTTTCTGTGTCAGCTGTGCCACTCTTCTTCAAAGCTCATGCTGTCCTGCCTTAGATGTGTGAATATTCAACATGTGCTTTTAATGGAAGCATGTAATTTATTTGTTAGACAACTACCAAAGGTAATTTTTTTTACAGAGGTTTTTTTGTTTTCAATTTCCATCACAGTAATCCAAACACAGATATTTTATATTCAGATCCTGAATCAATATTTAAGGTCAGTTCTTTTGGAAATCCTACACCAACAGAACCTCTGCATTTGTGCAGAACACTAAGTGGACATGATATTTAGGGTGATGCAGTATCTATGGCAACGAACACGTTATGTTTTAGCGTTTTAAGCAAGTAAAAAGTTCTGCTTTGGGCATTCAGAATTGAACATTTTGGGCTTTGCCTTTTTATAAAAAGAACATTACGATGATGATGGTGATTAGAAGAGATACTTTGATTCCAAAAAACACCCAGTATTTTTATGGAAGTGCACTAAAGTTACCTCTCATTTGATCAACGCCATTTGATTCTCGGTGCAGGTGCACAAGTTGCACCCTTCATGTTTAGCAGCTACTACCCTGCCCGCACACCTAAATTTGTACAAGAAATTTGCGTCACCACCACAGCTGTCTCCCACCTCGATCCACTCTTCCGTCATCATGTTACCAGAACCGCCAGCGCTGTGTTTATGCCCCCAGGATGTAGTTAGGAACCGAGACCCAGCAGCGCCGTACAGACTCACACTGTGGTTATCATTTAACTACGAGCTGTGTAGACTCAACTCTGACTCCTGATTTAAAAACAGTACTTTTGAAAGCACAGCAGTTTCTTATCCTTTTTTTCCTTAAAATCAAGTGGATGAACATAACCAAATAACAGAGGACATCACCATAACAAAACCAGTGTCACCTCTGAGTAAGCACTTCTGCGAAACGCGCCGTTCCTCCTTCCCGCACACACTTTTCCCAGTCTGTCACTGAGCACGCAATTATTTTCCACCCAAACTCCACCACTTCCCCTCCAACTCCCCCACATCCT